ACCACATTCGGAGAGGAGGTACAGAAGCTACCCAAGTACAAGACTGCGGGAACACCTGGACTCGGAATAGTAAAGACAGACGAACAGAGCGAATGGATCGCTGAAGAACAACAGAGCAGATATCGAACAGGAGTAGGCATGCTCATGTACCTTATCAAGCATTCAAGGCCAGAAATCTCGAACGCGGTACGAGAGCTAGCTAAGGTCTTGGGATGCGCAACGCCGGCAGCGTACAAGGAAATGCTACGCTGTGTAAAGTACGTGTTGGACTCAAGGAACCGTGGACTTTTGATGAGACCAGAGAAGAACGAAGGACCGTGGAAATTGGAAGTATTCTCGGATTCGGATTGGGCCGGAGACAAGAACAACAGAAGATCAGTCACGTCCATGATGATCTTTCTCGAAGGTGTACTCATTCACTGGAGGTCCAAGCTACAGAAGGTCGTAGCATTGTCGAGTACCGAAGCTGAGTTCTACGCGTGTGGCGAAGCAGTGCGAGAAGTCCCGTTCATCGCGCAGATTCTGAAGTTCCTACAGATCAACGTGGAACTACCTGTGCAAGTGAAGATCGATAACGTAGGTGCTATCTTTATGTCAGAGAACAAGACAAGTGCAAGTCGAACAAGGCATAATGGATACGAGGTGGCACTACGTGAATCAAATGCAGCAGGACGGCTAGTGAAGATTGATTTTTTCGCTCGGAAGACAACGTGAGCGACATTGGACCAAGAATGTCAACGTCGAGACCCTCGACAGACATGCACCGAAACTAACAGGAGACAAGGAGCAATTGGTTTGAGTTGGTAAGAAGGTCGCTGCCATCATCGCGAAACGGAAGGGTGTTAGAAAGGATTTTCGTATGACGGACAGACGACTCGGGATCCACAATCACGGTCGTGATTGGGGATGTGTACTCAAATCAGATGGTTACCGATCATCATCAGATGGCCAGGAGTACGAGGAACAGAGACAATGGTCGTCTAGATGATGCACTACAAAGGTTAGGAAGTTAGGTCGAAGAATGAATGCAAGGAGCGATGGGACGGAGCAAATGAATGGACGGATGAAGGTCCATAGGTTTAGTAAAGTGGGAAAGCCCTCCAGGGCCAACCATGCACTTCAGGAAGATAGATCGACGAGATCTATCTGTAGATGAAACTGCGAGAAGCAGAGGATCGAAAGATCCTGGTATATGTATGCATATCGGAGCTCAGTTGTAGTTGTAGAGCTCACAATCTGAACGAGAGAGAAAGAGAAAACGAAACAGATAGCCAGTCTACTAGACAGTAGAGCTGGAAGGATATTGATTAAATTAGAGAAATTGTGCGTTCAAGTTCACACCTTTTCAACACCGAAAACTGCGCTCTGCAGTGGTAGGGATAGAGCTAACATAGATTACAGACGAAATCATCAGGGCACAGCACCTTGGGGTAATTTCCTCCAAATGGAAGAAAAAGCTCAAAGTTTAATTGTTCAGAAAATGTAAAATGAAGCAAAGAGACATGCAGGACTCCACAAGGCCTGTTGAAGTTGAATAATCTGAATCTGAATTCTCAGAGCCTTTTAGAGCCTATTTAGGCTCTTAGAATTAAGATTGGAAAATTGAAAACTCAGATCCCAGTGTAAATTAGCTAGATATTCAATCTGGTTTTTCAGATCTGAATTCTAAGAGCCTGTTGTAATTTTAAGAGCCTAACCAGGCTCTTAAAATTCAGATTCAGATTGGTCAGCTTAAATAGGCTGTTTCCTTTTCAGTCTGGGGAACATATTTTTGAAGAAAATGTTTTTGAAAAAAGGAGAAAAGACTCAATTTGAGTGGAATACCTCAAGGTGCAGGCTGAGAAAATGGTACGGTACCAGTACAAAGGAAGGAGACAGTCAAATAGCTAGCTAGATAGCCGATGGAAAGCAGCTCCCTGCATTGCATGGCACCATGGAGTGACCCCAGCTTTCGTCAATTGTTCCTACTAGATCAAGAGACGGAGAGTGCAGTAATCTTGGACAAGAAAGCTTCTTGAGGAACACCCGCACAGCTGTTCCGGAAGAGGCTAGTCCACCAGAGGATTGGGTCGAGAACCTGATAACCAATCGTTATGCTGCTATCCCCCGAAGATTCTCTGCGATCCTGTACACAAGCCAATCCGAAGCGTAGCAACAGCAGCAACCGAGAGCGATGTGCCTGGCTTCTACCAGGACGGTACCGTCCGGACTGTGATGGCTTCGGAAATCGAATCAGCTACGTTTCGCTCCTCATGCAAACATGCTCTGACTATTTGTTATAATCTGTCTCAAGATAAATCCATGGCATGATATACATATTCAACACGAATTGTTCGCTCTCAGCATCATTCCATCCTTCCGACATGTACATCTAGATTGCGAATTTCACACCGCTGGCTTCCTCACTAGTACGCCAAAGCATTTCCATGGCTTGCTTGTCTGTTTCATAGGGCTGAGGTGGATTGGGGACAGCACGTCCAGACAAGCCACTTTTCTTCGTCCAGGTCAAGGGACCATACAAGACACCAGACTCTGCAGATGGACTGGCCATGCCAAGCAGCAAGCCCATGGACCCATCCTCGGATGATTGGGCCAGAAATTTCATGAGAATTGTCACAATGAGGTTGGAGAAGAAGCCATAGTTGGTGAGGTGATCTCCCAGGTTGGTGTTGGAGCCACCTGGGTGAGCACACACAGCTCGAACCTTGGAGCCTTTGGCTTGCAACTTGCCATGCAACGCATGGGTAAAGACAGAATTGGCCAGCTTGCTTTGGAAGTATCGATGAAACGGTCCACCACCCATCAATATTTTCTCACTTCCACCCAAGTTTCCTCCATTCTTGAGAAAATATTTCTCTTCCAAACCCTTGTTGGGTGTCATGTCCCTTGCACCAGAGGAATGGTTGACAATGCGAGCATCTCCATTGGCTTTTGCTTCAGCTTCAAGAAGAGGAAACAATTCAGCCGTCAACAAAAAGTGACTGAGATGATTTGTCTGCATTTGTGTGTCATATCCATCCTTGGTGGCCTCGTCCGGTGTTGCCATGATACCTGCATTGTTGGAGAGGCAATAAAGTTGGGTGTATTTGGACTTGATCTTCTTGGCAGCTGCAGAAACAGAAGCAAAATCCTGCAGGTCACATTCAATGGGGACAAACGTTCCATGTGGCACAGCATTCTGGAGCATTTCCAAAGAGTCCTTGGAGCGGCTAGACTGACGGTTGAGTAGGATTACTTCGCCTCCCAACTCAGCAACTGCACGGGCAGCTACAAATCCTGTTCCAGAGGTGGTGCCAGTGATAGCAAAGACTTTGCCATCCAACTTGGGAAGTGTGGTCTTGAATTTGTTGTAGAGGCGAGTCATGACGTTGGGCTCTTTGTGGAGTTTTTCAGTTTTGTAGTTTTTCAGTTTTAGTTTTTGTGCGCATCTTCCCGATCTTTCACCGAGCTTTGTGGGAATCAAATCTCCCATGCATGCACCACCATTAAATAATGCATTTCCCGTGACCTTTAATTAAATAAGCTTATCTGGGCATCTTCGAAAGGCTTCGCAACTCTTACTTTTCATGGACTCCCGCTCCCACTGTGGCTCCTTTCGCTACTTTAGGCCGACCCTATCCGCAAACGGTACACGTTACACGGTACCGATATTTTACCGTGTCCGTGTGGCACCGGACCTAATGCTCACACGGTATGGGTATATCAGACCCACAACCAAGCGGCACTCCACATCCAATCAGATCGCTTTAAAAGACACTGACGTGGAAATTCTTTTGCGCCAAACCAACCAAATTATTAAATAATATTTTATTACAAGATCGCAGAAACAGATCGCTACTCGCACTATTGGCTGTTGCATCGCTTGTTGTACTCATCGCGTCTACTCGCTTCTTGGATAGCAACCATGGCAGGGACCGCCAAGATCCCAGACTATCTGATCCAGGAGGCAAGATCGCTAGTGTCTACACAGTGCAGGGAAATCTGCATGGCCGACAAAGCAGATGGAAAGGATCTTGAGGGCCAAAAAGAGTTGATGGGAAAATGCTTCCACGGATCGGCTGGATACGGTTCTTGCTTAACAAATTTGATTGAAGGAAAGGGCGACTATGCCTCCATGTTTGACCGGACGGCAATTGAGAACAATCGAGAAGGCAATGAGCAGAGGAAAGATGGCTATGCCCTAATCTTGAAAGATCTAGTGTCTTGCGATGAGGGTGAGTTCTGCCTTTGCTTTGAATTTGTTATGAGTTGTTCTGCTCACGCATAAGTTGCTTTCAGCTACCACATTCTGTGTCCACTCTAGAGGCTTCACGCGTGAGGCACTAGCCAAAACAAAAGGCGAGATTATCCTGGGAAGAAATGTATATGATCGAGGCAACAGGTGCATTGCCAACTACAAGACAGCCCTCAAGTATCACGATGAATTTTGTCCGAAGTCTTCTCCAGACCCATATCCATCTGGTAAGGGCCTGGAAGACATGTTGCTCTATGTGCGACAGAAGATGTATGTGTTGCTGAAGGGTGCGAAGAACAAGGATGGAGCAAGACGAGTTAAGAAAGATGCAAACACTTTCAAAGACAACAAGATGCCAGAGAAGTACATGTTCGAAGGGTACATGGTATTTGTTCTATGGGGCCCGAAAGCTCTCTGTGGAAGGACACTTAGCTGTCTATCAGAAGATGGAAAGAAGGTTGAGAAAGTAGGTCGGGCAGCCATTAGAGAACAAGAACTGAAGACCAAAAAACTCAAACGTGCAAGCAACGAAGGAGGCACTGGCCCATTCAATCGCGGACTTGCTGTTAAAGACAAGTTCGCTTGTGCCACACTGGCCATATCGGAATACAAAACGGCCACAAGGAACATGAGAGACCTTCTCTATCACAACAATCTGTCTGAGACCAACTGTCTTACGCAAATGGGCCATTTGAACAACATGATCGACAGGGCCGAGAGGAGAAATAACACAAGAGAAATTGCCCATTTGGAGAAGAGAAAGGATGATCTTTTCAACAAGCTGGATGCCTTGAGCAAACGAAAGGCAGAATTAGAGGAGGAAAGCGATCGACTTTTCAAGAAAGCAAAGCTTCCCCAAACCCAGGCATTGTACGAATCCATGGGTATCTTTGCTGTGCCGAAAGATGTTGATGTAGCCACCAAGCCCACTGTGGACGAAGAATCCACCATCACCAACAAAACGCCAAGCAAAATTCCTGCTAGGAAACAACAACTGTCCAAGCTGCCATTGCACTGCTCCCAGCTTTCGCAAGAAGATAGTACTGATGATGTCGACGGCACTGCTATTCACGAGGAAGAGGAAGAAGAAGAGGAGGATGAAGTTGTATTTGTTCAGCCTCGTGCAGAGAAGGAAATTGGATTCGGTGAGGACCCTCCTCCCTTATTCACCGGTTTTGCTGCCAGGCTTCCACCAGAAGCTCAAGCAGTTCTTTTGCGTTTGAGGGAAAAAGAAGCTGCTGGTATTCCAATCGGCGACCCTTCTTTTTATGAGCAGCAAGCCCTTGTCGCACGTACAGAAGTGGAGCATGGTAGAGGTGGTACCGGCCCAGTCGATTTCCAGAATGGCGGTGTCTATTATGCGAACAAAGCCCAAGCAGATGACCTTAACGCTGCCACTGCCGCAAAGTATTACATGCAGGAAGAAGATGGATAATGGATAAAATTGAACTAGTAGTTACTTGCCTTTACCCAGTTTTCCTTTGTGGCCATCTGACTCTATTGCATCTCCACAAAATGTCGAAGTGTTCCACAAGACGATTGCGAAAGTCGTCGTATGCTAGGGAATTCACAAGAACGCTTCCATCTACGGCAACCTTCTGTCGCGTAAGATGGCAGTCATCCATTGCTGAATTGTTGGCTTCGTCTTCTACCATTGCGTCTTCTCTTTGCCGATCGATTTGTCTTCTCAGCAACTCTTCTTGTGCAGCAGTTTGTTCGTGGTGTCGACTGCCAAAGCCACGAAGAGCTTCACTCGACAATCGTTGCACTGCGAAAGGTGCAAATCTTCTCATATCCTCCACTTGATTATCTCCAGCAGATCCATCCCACTCATCCAACCCATCCACCTTCAACAGCATGTTGTGGAGAGCGCAACAAGTAAGCCAGACTCGATCAGCGGCTTCAGGTCCTTCTAAACGTATGCCAGTTTTGAGCACTCGAAACCTTCCTTTCAGAATACCGAAGCAGCATTCAGCATCTTTCCTGAATGACTCTATCCATTCACTCAATCGCTCCTCGCAACGCAAGAGACTTGTCTTTGCTGGAGCTTGAGTGCATGCCCATTTATGGTATCCATTATCCACAAGGCCCAAAGCTCCGCTGTACTTGGTATATTCAACTTGAGAGTTTCCGACTTCACCTTCCCAGGAAAACAAGTGAAACTTGACATCACTCAGAATGGTTCCTTCATGCAGGCCTGTCATGAACTCATCAAACAGTACGAGAGTTTTGTCATTCCAACGAGATGGATGGCCTTTTGTTGTGTACAATATTTATCGGCGGTGGTTGCAGGTAAGATTGTAGGTTCTCGCTGGATGACTCTGCTTGAATCCCATGTTTGCCTGTTTCAAGTTGTGGGAGCACCGCCACATTACTACGTTGGTGGCATCAGTGGAGAAACCACACCCATGAAGACCACCGATATCATACTCCTTTCTGTGGGGCTTAAGGTCTTCTGCAGTGCGGGGCATCACAACGTACAGGGAATACAATACATCTGCCCCAAACCTGATAAATGCATGGAGGAATTGCCGATGGGTTTCTTCATTTATTGCTGTGTACTCTTCCACGTCGTCGAAAGTCAGGCCTCTTCCAAGATAGCGAAGCGCACCCAAAAGCAACAATTCCAGAGGCGAAGACTCTTTTCCCACTGCATCTTTTGATTTCCAGCGACGGAAGTACTTGTCATGGCTCTCCACTTTGTCAAATAAGTTGAGAAACTCGGAATATGGAAGCCGAAAGCGTCTCCTGAATTTCTTATGCCATTTGGCGCAATCAATGGTGGGTGACGCCACGTACATGTAGTACCATACTGTTTGCTTGGGCTGTAGGATGACCTTCGTTCCTTCGTTGTCAAAATAGTAGGGCTTAATCGACTTGCATTTTCTAGGACTGCGTTTGGATTTTACAGAAGCACCAGCAGTTGCCACTTCGGTTTCACCATCGCTCTCATCCTCCATGTACAAATTCTGTAGCACGGACTCTTCAGCATCATCCAAGTTGTCTTCCTGCTGTATCAACTGAAGGAACTTCTCACTGATTATTGCCCCATTGCCATCGTAACAGTCAGCAATGCCGATTGCATCTTCTTCATCACTATCAGAATTGTACTGGTCTTGTTCCAAACTTGGTACCTCCATTTCCATTCAAGCTCGCCAACAGACATTCGACTTTTTATGCAAAGACTTCTGACCAACCCATTGCGATTTCCCATGTTCAAGTTGTCTTTTAACTCTAATCTAGATATGAATTTAAGGTTTTTGCTAGTACCGTCAAGCATGACTGGGCAACGGAATGTTTGATGAGATTTCGTTGTCAAAAATGTCCGACGGTATCAGGATGGCTGGCGTGGAAATTCTGATTGGCTATTTGGATACCGTGTAACGTGTACCGTCTATGGATAGGGTCGGCCTTAGCTGCATGTACGTAGCCCATCGATGTATTGAAAACGCACCATCCATGAATATTGAATGCCGATCCTGGTACTGTATAATTCGTCGCTTGCAACGGGACGTGTGGCAGGGATCCGAAAAGAACAATCCGCAAGGCAGCCAGTGCCAGTGTCGCATGGAAACGCTTTGTGGCATCAGAAGTACCTTTTCCTATAATTTTGGGTGGATGAATCGAATCGGGCTACTCTGGGTACTACATGTACGGTACTGACTCTAGGATGGGAGGACTGCGAGGGTAAGAAGGTGTGGCAAGGCAATCAATGGATGCCGTGTCCGGGAGTCGACGGGCGCCAATTTGGATCTTTTTTCTGGAAGATACCATTTTAACCCTAGCTCTATTTTACTGCACCCAAACGGCAACGGGCGGCAGGCAACCCACCACCCACCACAACACCACAACCCACAACACTCCATCGATCCTCTTTATATTTGTGATACTCTCTTGTTGTCCATCACAAGCCATGTCATTCTTCCACCGATCCTCACTATCATTATCTCTACTGTCGCTGCTGCTATCGTGCACTTTCTGGCAAGGCACCTTGGGATATCCGGTGATTCTTCAAGTATCCGAGCAGCAAGAACGATGCTTCAAATTCAATATCCCCGAAGATGACGAGGCCAATTTGGTCTTTATGGCGCTGCCACTGGGGGAAGAAGTATCCGAAAATAACAGAGATACCACCATGGAAGGATGGATGGTTCAACAGGTTAATGAACTGTCCAACCAGAGAGGTGTAGGAGGGAATTTGGCGACCCAACTGTTGGAGTCACCACCCCCCGAATTGCGAAAAGTCATGGACAAATTCCTCCAAGGACGTCCGGAGGGTGTCAATGCCAAACTCAAAGTGGTCGTGTCCGTGGACTCGACCGGTAATCCGTCCTCCCGAGTCTTACCCATCAAGTACTTTGAACCCAGTGTCATTAACCAGGTCAAGGAAGCCCACAAAAAGGTGCTACCCATCAATAATAGTGAAGAATATCAAGAGGGATCGGACCTGAGTGGATACAGCATTTGTTTCAACAACCAGGACAATGAGGAAGAATCCGTCCAAGTCGTCATGGACATTGTCATGGTCAATGACGATGTGCAACAAAATGCCAATGAACCCAATTTCGTCAAGGAAAAACACTTAAGTCCATTGGAGGAATCATTGGAAAAAAGCATCAAAGCCGCCAACACGGTCTTGCGTGAAATGAAGTACATGACCGATCGAGAAGAACGAATGCGTATGACGGCGGATAGCATCAATCAACGAGTGCAGTACTTTTCCATCATTTCGGTCGTCATTTTATTGGGTGTCACGTACATTCAAGTCACCTACTTGAAACGATATTTCAAAAAGAAAAAACTCATGTGAGGAACTAATAACGCAACAACAACAACAGTGAAACGAGGGGAGAACGAAATAAAAAGCGGTGCTAAACAAATTGAGAAGGATGGCTGATAGACCAATTTGCTACTCTTCTCTGCTGTACCGGTACGAAGAAGTCTCTAGCATCGTCATCTACTAGTAGCTAGCTAGCATAAGATATGATATGATTAGACTCAGGAGTCCAGGGACATGTATGTGTTGTATTGGTGCGGCACTCTTCTTCTGTGCCGATGCTTCAACGCCCCTCACTTCCACCAGTACTAGATAGTCTCGTTTGCTCCGATGAGTTTGTTTCTGCGTCAAGATTGCCTGATTGTGGCTCTTACTTTCGTTGTCATGTCTTGCAAGCATCCACGGAGGATCATCTTTTCCACATTTGCATCCACAATGCTTGCCAGAGCCCCACGCCGTACAGTGCAGTTGACGTCGACGGTCTTCGTCTCCGCGACGCAGTTTTTCGATGTACATGGCTGCTTGAATTGCCTTCGCTTGGAGCTTGCGACCAAGGCCAATCCAATAACGAAACCAGGGGCATTTCTTCCAACAAAAAGCTGGCCGCAAAGCCAAAGAGATAACTTACGGTGGCTGGGTGGTCCAACAAGCAAGATGCCATAGGTCTCGTGAAGTTCGCTCTCGCCGCTCTAGCTACAAGACTGTGTTTGTGCCACACTCGAGAAGCTTTCCGCAAAAATTATTGATTATGTCGTTACCTACGTCATAAACGTATCTTTGATTTCGTCCGTGGAGGCATATGTTCTTGGCTTGCGGATGAGGGATTGTCTCATGCGATGGAACAGAAGGAGTCGAGGCACTTTGGTGCCACCGTTGTCCGCGTTGTGATACCTCCTTCCACAGTTCTGGTGCGCAGGCCCAATGTCAGCTATCATCAAGCTTGTCGTTTTGCCCAGTTTCAGGTTTGCTTGAACATGGCGTGACTGCACAAGTTGGATGGGTGTTCATGAACAGACCACAATAGATAGGAGGAAACCAAAGCTGACCAAAAGAGGCTTGTCCACCGCAACCGGTGGTGTTCTCAGAATGCGGAAAGTTTCCTCATCTTGGAAGCTCATATGATTGCAACTTTTTGTTTTGTTTTGTTTGTTTTGTTTTACTTTCCAATACAAAAGTCCTTGAACAACTTATCCAAAATGTCTTCTACATCCACAGCCCCTGTCACTCGACCTAGCTCGGATGCCGCCAGCCGTAATTCCTCCGCCGCCATATCTACCACCATGGTCCCCTGTTGACTCAGATGATCAAATCGCCGCAGCGCTTCTACAGCCGCTTGTACATGTTGCCGATGACGTGCCCGTGTAATCAGACTTCCTTCATTGTCGCTGTTACTGTTGTTGGGTGCTGTAGCAGTATCACCATTGATCCGGTTGGTTACCGTTTGAGTCAATGCCTCCAGGAACGCATCAATACCCTCATTGGTATGGCAACTGATCCCAAACGTACGAATGTCTTGGTTAGTCGAAGATGGATCAGTGTTGTCATTTGTGTCTTTGACGAGATCCATCTTGTTGAGCACCAATAAGACATTTTCCGAGGCAAGTTTGTGGGTTGTTGTAACACTACTGCTGTCATGTTCATCACCCTCCAGTAGTGCCTCATCGGCGGAATCCTTCAAGACCGTCTCTAATATTTCCATCCCCGCCACGGCATTTCCCTGTTCCACCATGGCCACCACCACATCGGCTTGTTGAGCCACTTTTTTGGCACGGGCAATGCCTTCTTGTTCAATTTGGTCAGAAGTAAATGTTCGCACTCCGGCTGTATCACTGAGAACGCATTTGATACCGGCCAAATTGAGACTCAACTCTAGGACATCCCGTGTCGTTCCGGCAATATTAGAGACAATGGCGGCATCCTTTTGTGCCAATACATTAAAGAGGGAACTCTTGCCTGCATTGGGAGGTCCCACAATACAAATGCGCAGTCCTTCGCGGACCAATTCTCCTCTCCGACTGTCTTGCAGCTGATATTCCATGGCACGACGTAATTCTGCCATTTGTACTCGAACATTGCCCCAAATGTTCCATTGTTGCACATCTTCTGTCATTAACAGCATGTCACCTTCTTCTTGTTCTGCTTGTGTGTCATCTTCTATCAAGGCTTCATCATCCCCAAAATCAATGACCGCTTCGGCATGGGCCAATCCACCAATGAGCATGTGGCGCCAGGATGTGTAACAGTCCGACAGCGTCCCGTCCAATTGGGTCAATGCTTGTTGTCGTTGGCGCGATGTATCGGCCGTCAACAAATCCGCGAGGGCTTCGACTTGCAAGAGGTCCAATTTGCCTTTCGCAAACGCCCGTTGCGTGAATTCTCCCGGTTCGGCCATGCGATGGCCCGGCAAGTGAGCAAGGGTGTCGAGAAGATCCGTCACCACGGCGCGACTCCCGTGACAATGCAATTCGACCACGTCGTCTCCCGTAAACGAGTGTGGTTGGGGAAAATAGAGCACCAATGCTTGATCCAATACGACTCTTGGTGTATTTTGGTTATTGTTGGTAATAGGTGTATAGAGTTTGCAGAGTGTGGCTTGTCGTGGCACAATGGTTCTTTTGTTGGGACGCAATAGCATGGATTGAAGTGTGGAGAGAGCTTGGGGTCCCGAGATGCGAATGACGGCCAGTGCTGTGGCCTGATATTGACGGGCACCGCCACCACCACCCGACGACAAGGCAAAAATGGTGTCATCCTGTGGGTCCATACCTGCTGTTGCTGTTGCTGCAAGACGAGTAGTAGAAGTAGTAGAGTATGATCGTGATGATTGTGGTGCAACGACTCTTTTTCTAGTGTTGGTGGAAGGCCTGACAACAGAACGCACAAAGGAGGCTGATTGCAGACTTCTAGATCTTGTGATCCTTGTGGCAACCACTGGGATTCTCCAAGCAGAACTGGAACCAATCATCGTCACTCCTAGTAGTATGGCCAACAACCGTGATGCTGCCTTGATTGGTTGACCAATCATGCCTGACTCTATGATTGATAGCAATCGCAGACTCGACTCCTCAATCTGACTGGCCAGTTCACTACCTTCGCTACCGTATATAAACTTCTGGCTTGGATGTTTTTGTTGGCGGTTGTGAAGAGGAAGATATGAAAGATTTTGTGGTTATGATGGATAACTCTAACGCTAAGAAAGATCCGTTTTGCCGTCAGGTTCCCATCAGAACCAACCATTTGTTCCGACAAAACTTAGTTGGATCCTTTGCAGCATTTCATAATGGAAGACAAACAGCAGCAGGGCATGCACTATTTTAAATAGAGACTACTAAAGAATAGCAAGAGATATAAGAAGACAATGGTGCTCTTGATGATGCAACGACTTTTCTCTGGGTTGATTTTGTTGCTTCCCCTCTTGAAGGAGGTTTCTCCATTCCTTGTACATGTGCCTCAGCCAACATCATCACGACAGTCCTTCCTCCATGTCCATAGTAGTACATCCTCCTCCTCCGAAGGAGTGACCAGCAATAAGAAGGACAGCCGTGTCATTTACCAAAAAGTGGTCAAGAGTCCAACTAGTACTGACGGCAACCTTCCTCTCTTTTTGGGGCACTTGGTGGAATATTTGCAAGATCAATTTGAGCTGCCGCAAGACCTGCCCATGGTCTACCACACCATTCTACCAACAACAAATGACAATGATGACAACTCGTCAAGCAATAATTGTGTCACCAGTTGGGATTCACCCATGTCTGCATCCACGGATGCCACGCGCATGATGGTCGAAGTGGTGGCCATTTATACTGATCAACACAATGATGAACAATCATTACCACCCATGGCCATGGTGGCCGTCCGCAAAATGACACACACCAGCAAACCTTTGTCGCCCATGACTCAAAATTTATTTGACGCCTCGGAAAAACAAATATTAAAAGCACTGGATCGGGGATTGGATCAGTTTGCCGCTGGAAAGCTTGACAGCAGTAGTAAAAAGAGCAAAAAGCCACAAGATATGCAAGACGCCCAAACGGCCATGATTGAAGAAATGCTCGAAGATGCGGCCGTGTCGCATCCGTCTCTGGTCGAGAACAACAGTACGACAATCAGTGCCACGACTCCTGGAAAACAAACACTGAATGTGCTCGATGCCGAAGTGGAATCATCCTCCGATTCAGCCGATATTAAAAATACATTGGAGTCACCGAAACAGGATTCTGCTGCCCAAGAAGAAGAAGAAGACGACTTTGCCGTACGAGCCGCCAAAGTCGTCGCAGGGAGGAACAAGCCAAGTAGCAGCAAACAACCAACCAAGAAGACAAAGTCGGGCGTCGATTTTGCCGTGGCCCAAGCTCAAAAGGTGGCAAAGGCACGAAAGGATGTGCCAAAGTCTTCCAAGAAGGAGAAGAAGCAAACCAAGACTGCAACAACCACCACCGGCCAGCCAATCCCGGCTTCTTCAGTCGGTATTAGTGGTAACGCAAGCCCCATGATGGAAAGCATCAAACGGGATGGACAGAATCGAGCGTTTCGCACGGTCGTGTCCAGACCTCAATCGAGAGGAGCCAATGCAAAATCAAGAGAACAAGCCACTGCAGAGAAGCGACAATCTAGTGGCGGGTCGTCTGACACCAAACCGTTGGATGTCAAAGAGGCGGCCCAACAGGCTGTCGAGCAACAACGTCTAGCAGCCAAGGCTGCCAAGAAGAACAAGAAGAAAGCAGCAGACCAAAAGCCCCAAAAAGAAGAACAACCTCTTGCCGAGGAAACCAAACACCAAAAGACCAAGGAGACCAAGAAAGCAGCAGACCAAAAGGCCCAAAAAGAACAGCCCTTGGAAACAAAGAATTCTTCTCCTACTGCCAAGAAGCGTGCTGTAGAAGGACCCTCGGACCAAGAAATCATGCAAACGGCCCGAGACGTCATGGAAGAGTTGTCCAATCAAAGTCAAGACATGACACCCGAGGAATTGCTGGAGGATGTACTCAAATTTGGAGCGGCACAAGACAAGGAAAATGAAATTGGGACGGGATTTGTTGCGGGAGCCTTTGAAAAAGCCAAGGAACTCCTACGGGAACAAAAACGCAATCGAGACGAAAAAGTAAAAGCACAAGTGGTGGAGCAAGTCACCCAGGAACACCTTCAACAGCAGCAGCAGTCCAGTCCAGCAAACGACAAGCAGCATAATGTCAATGTCCGATCCAGAGAGGTCAGTTCCGAGGAGGAAGAATTGCGCCGCATTTTCGAAGCAGGTGTCAGGGCTGCGGACAGCCACATGACTGCGCCGACAACAAGTCAAGGAGGAGATATGGTAACAAAAGAAGCCATGTCGGAGGAAGACGCACAACAAGTGGACGACTTGATTGCCGGCGACAAGAGTGTTTCGAATCATGCACGAATCTTGGATGACGAGTTGGCAGAGCTAGAAGTTCGAATTAACCAATCTCCCGGAGGAGCCGTAGACCGAGGCCCGAATCCTCTCTTTGATATATTCTCTGGACCCGAGACGTACAACCCCAATGTAGATCCTGCCACGGCAGTCAATTGGCCAGGAGCGCTACCAGGGACGGCGACAACCACGGGCCATTTACCAAAGGAACTCACCGAAGCCGTGAAACAGGCCGAGTTCGCCGCGGAGGTGCTGCAGAATTTAGAAGTACGAGAAGAAGAATCGGGCGAGAAAGCCTTCTTTGTGGGCAAGCGACAATTGTCTGCCCAGCAGGTGGAAAACCTTCAATCCGTTGCCGCGGAAGCTGTGGAAATTGGCATCATACCGAATCCGCTGGTCTTGATGGAGGAAAGGGGTCGGCTACAAATGGTGCTGGACGAGCTATGGAACCAGGACGAAGACCGGAGGCGAGAAATCGTTTCCAATTACAAAGATTTACTGTTATCAGACAACTTTGTGGCACTGATCAAAGAACGCCTACGAGAAATGGCCGACAGAGACATAGAGGCACTTCGCCAAAGAGCAAACGATGAGGAAGAAGAAGGTGAAAGTGAACTGGAGCAGCGCCATACACGGGAAAGAGAGTTGCTTGGTCAACTGGTTGTCACTGCTCAACTGTTACTGAAGGAGGCTCGAGCCATTGGTGCCGAGCTCGAAGCACAACAAATTGAGGTTATCAGATCCATCTGCAAGGTTGCGATGGACCCGTCTCACCGAACGGAAGAAGAAACAGCAGCTGCTTTGACAGACACCGTGAGAGATATGCGCCCACTCTTTGATGACATGTTCATTGCCTATCTCAAATACGCCGTTGCAGAGGAAGAAGGACGACTTGCTCGTGCCGGTGTACTCGATGATCCTGAGCACAATCAATGGTTATTTGTTTTACGCATTGTCCAGCAAGGGGTTCATGCTGAAATTGCCAAAGGAATCAATCGATACGTTGAGCATATCTGGTATGTCCTGCGCATGGAGACTCCCATTGAACGCAAGCTGTTGCTTGCCAAGCTGATTGATGACATGCCTACGCTCGATGTAAGACCGTTTGTTCGAGTTGTGGACAATATTGTTAGCTCGTTAGGTGAAGTCGGAAGAGGTGAATTGAAAGATGGGGCCTACGAGCTTGGTAACATGACCAATAAGTTGCTTCAATTGCACCGCGACATGAAAGAGCTTCTGCCACCCGAAAGGATTGAGGCCAAGAGCCGTGACGCCGACGAATGGGCCGCAAAGCAGAAAAAGAGGATGGTGGAGCAACGAAAGCTTGCCCAACAACGCCTGAAGGCCGCACGCGAAACCGAAGAATACGACGGTGAAATCGATTCCATTGGAATGAGAGGCGAGACGGAGCGTTTTTCGTAACGTCATTGTCGTATGGTAGGACGATTACTAGCATCGGACATCGTCTTTTCTCTTCATCAATGGCAATAAGCAACCTTTGCAACCCTCTTCACAGCGGAATTTGTTCGTGTCGTGAAAATCCCCACCAGTACTGGTACCGTGTCACGATCGAGGCTTTTGCCTCCTCTGCCCATGCACTTGCTTCTCTGCATAGGAATCCGGTACCGTGACGAAAGGAAGCCAGAGCGGAACCACAAGATCGAATCATCTTGTCGCGTGGGCAGCTGGGTTGCCTCTGACGGAGTTGATAAGCACTAGTCAAAACGGAACACGATTGTGGTATCTCCTTATCGTATCTCCAGTGTTGTTGGACCCGGAACGAGGACACCTGCCTCGGACTTGGCCTGATCCAACCTATTCGTCTAAGGTGCAAGAACTTCGTAGCTTATCGACCACCTGTTGAATGATCATTCGATAGATTCACACCTGGTTTAAAAAGCTAGAAAGTAAGATCACTTCACAAGATTGGTTGCGTGGCTGAACATCCGATCATCGCCAGCAATGAAAAATTTCAAACGACACTCCCGGAGTCCTACCCAAAGAACCAGCCACATCATCAACGACGAGCGCGGCGCCACGGTCAGGATCTTATCCTCCATTGAATCGCAGCCTTGTGAGCTTCACCAGTTGAGGGATCATGATGCGAGGTCACAACATGGGTGTTCGTTTCCGAATTGGATCTCAGGGGATTTGGATTTTGGATCTCAAGATTTGGATACTTTTTGCACGAATGGGCTTTTAAAACACAGCAGAGCTGCCATCCACACTTTGGGTCTGGCATGTTTCGCACGATTCTGCTGGTTTTGAGGTTGCCGAGACGAAGAATGCCCCAGACGTCATACGCAGGAACCTTTGTGGGTACCCGAAATGGGATCATTGCTTGGCTTGATGCTTGTTGTCAACAGCCTTCGTTGTTGCTTGAGAATCAACAGGATGCCACGAACTGGTCGTGTGCTATTCTCGCCTCTGGAATCACAAGAGAGAATGTGGTGTCAGGCTAGTTGTCTGCACCGCGTAGCCCGCTACAGTTCACAATTCCCGAGCTCTCTTGGGTCCTAAACGGCAGGTTGCTAGTTTTCATTCTTTCCATAGCCGCACTACTAGCAAGTACTGGCTAGAGCAAGGAAAGACCAAGATGAAACCTTGCAAAAATCCAGGAACGTGTCTCTTGCTGTTCTGGCACCGAAGTCCCAACAAGCATTCACACATGGCTGGTTTCTGTGTTGCTTCTAGCTCTAGCTAGATAATCTAAATGATAGCTATAGCGTGGCAACCCAAGTCTGCAACGTGGGAACTAAGTCTTGACACTGAAAAAACCCTGGACCGTGGCGACCTGCCAGTTGGGTACTGTAGGTCTTTGAGGAAGCGAAGGAAAGCATAGCGCTGACATCAATCGTTCAGCCGCTCGCGCTGTGTTGCTTGCATGTGTCTCGCAGCCAGCCAGCTATGTTGTACTTTTACGGTACCGTAACAAGAGCGACGAAGGAAAGATCTCATGTTGAAGAAAGCAACAAAGATGATGCAAGCCAAGATGAGTAGGGAACATCCAGTGACGAGCGAAAGAGAACTGCCTTGGAAACAAGCAAACCCGGGTATATCTGAGGAGCACAATGATCACAAACAAAGACCGACCGTCTTGTGGTCTAACTCGTCTTCAAACTACGGAAGAAGGCCACATCAAAGAGACCGAATGCCTAAAAAGACGCAAGTCATAGGCTGTTGGTGGGGACGGTGGACATCGGACCCGACAATTTGGTCGAGATTGTGCCAACCTTTGGCTACTAGTAAGAGAGAGTAGGTGCAATGAAGAGCAATGCCAGAGGACGGTGCCAAGTTGAAGCCCTCCAATGCCAGAGGAGTCTTGGTGGTTGTATAGAAGTGGCTTATTGACTTTCCTTCTTCTATCATGTGCCTAGAGACGGCCACGGAAAAACATGAAAAAATGAGGGATGAACCCAGCCCGAAGCAAGGAGCATCTAGTCTTTGGGTCTTCATGAAGGGCACAACAAACACCGGCCAAGCAAGTGCTAAACGTCTCCTCGCATTCTAAAGATCCGTGTCTCCAACCTTCACAGTTGCTGATTTCTTCGATTTCGGGGCTAGCAAACTAGGTGGGGCAGAGCCGTAACACGTTCTATCACTACGAGCAAGATCCCGTGCCGTACCTTAGTTTCCAGTAGCCCCAGCCATTTCGTCATGATACAGATACAAGGTAAATGATAACCTTGAGAGAGTGAAGCCGCAAAGGAATGAACCATTATCTTTGTTGGCTCTGCTGATCTCATCATAATATCCATATCCAGCCATCGTGAAGTCAATGGTTTTCATTACAATGTCATCTGTGTTTGGACGTTTGGACAAGGTGCAAGGTGCAAGGCATCTTGCCGAGTCTTTGTTTTTCAAGCCACAGACTGGTGCACTGGCACAGACAACCGCGAATAACACTGCTTGGCTCATTGCTTTCACCGAGGAAAGTTCCTCACAAGAGATCCAATCAATCCCCAAATACACTTCGAGCCAAACTACGAAAACCGAAAAACAGTTGAAGTGCTTAACCAATCGTTAGCCGGCCCGCGTGAAATCCTTTTCTAACACCACTCCCTAGCATCCGCTGCTGTCAAACCCTAATCCCGTAACGGTCCAACGATGACGCTTCAATTTAAGCTTGGATTGTTGGCCGGTCTAGATATTTAGCGGACCCGGATAAGAAAAAGACCGCACCACCGTAGGAATTTAAGGAAACTGGCATTCTCAGATCCAGACTTCAAAGCGACCAGCCAGAAAGATCACTTTTTCTTCACAGCTCGCCCAAATCAACAAATTAACCTTGATATTACTAGTAGCTGCAGTGTTATTAGACCCAACACTGTGAAGAAAAAGGATTGTTTGTATTGAGTTTGCCCATGGTAAAGACCAAAAAGATAGAGTAACCAGGAATTGAACTAGAGGTGCTGAATTACAGTGGCTAGCCTCACTATCAGAGGTGCCTGTGGGCTCCAACAGGAAAATTTCGCTCAGAGGTGAGGCTCACAACAGGAGCACGGAGCATCGGCCGATCAAGTTCTCGACCGATTCAGCCAAAACCAAGCATACCAGCGGAGAGAGCGCATCAAGCCGGTTCAGATTGATGCTTGAAGCAAGGTCATCGGAGCCAAACTGAAGGAGTAATCGCCGATCGCGTGTTTTGGGTACCCACTCTACGAGCAAAAGCCGATCGCGCCGAACGAACACGACGACCGAACCAAGAGAGATACAGCTACGGCCGCATACAGAGATCGAAAGAGGACCTATTGCCGCCTATGCCACGACAAGTGCAAGCTCTCAACTCCGAAAATTGAGCGAGATACGACCGATCGAGTCAAACAGTGCTGAAGCATCGGGAAGAACAAGTCCCAACCAGCGCCGACAGCTGAAACTCGACACAAGAGCTGCGAGCCTATGAAACTGCTCCAGTAGGTCTATCTAACAACAATACAAGTATCTACAACAAGAAGAAGGCTTCGAGTCGACCGATAGAGTCAATCGGTAGTACACTCCAAGCCAAACGGTGTGATTTTCGTGGACAAGAGCAACCACAATTAGCCTGATAGTCGCCATACCGTCCTTGGAATAACCCTCTGTAGCCAATGAGAGCAATGATCTCGTATGCGTCCGTCATTCAGGTATTCTTTCACCTTATCTTGGTCATCCTTGATCCTCTCGTACTCGGGCTGCTTCAGAAAAAACAATCCATGTATCCTTGCCAACGATGTCAGTAAACTGAACCGAGTCGGCAGCCACTCTACGGAGAAAGAATCAGTCCGTTCTCCTTCCTCTTGCTTGGGGAAAGGGCACGCTGTAAATGGCTGACGAACTGGACAACGGGATGCTCTGGTGGTGCCTGCGGCAGTCAGTCCTCGGATCTTGCCTAGACTTTAATGGGATCTAGTTTGAACTGCTCCCAGTCATGGAGATTTCGTAGCTTGCTCTTCATCTGTTCGGTTACAATAAAACTGGTAGATGCTGGCTGCCCATTCTGAGGGCATTCTTGTACTCAAGTTTCCTGCTTCTGCCAATAGATAACTTATTCTTGTAGAGAGTTAGCTTGAGCTCGTCATAGATCTTCTTGCCGTCAGCATCCGAGTATAGGAGGTTCCGTTTGCTCTGTGTGGCGTCTGTCTTGCATAGTCTCAATGGCCAGGGACGCTTTGGGAATCTCCACTCTGACCTGGTTCTGAAAGTAGCCACAATGTGGTTCAATTTCTCTGTAAACTGATAAAATCTGGAGTCAGCCTGTCCATTGGGATGGAACAGGTACTTCGGCGGTTGCTTTGTCCTTTGCCTCTAACGCCACCACTGGCACCGCTCTACCGGCGCCTTGGCCCTGCCGGAGGAGCCTCTGCCTCCTCCTGTTGCCACGGCCTCCTCTGTTGTTGAATCTTGTCATCTTGCTCTTGATATGTCTATTTGCCTTGAGGAATACTGGCTGCGTGGCTTTTGACGGTGTACTGGTGTGGACGCTTGTGGAGCTTGAGGGGGTTCCTCTTATTTTTCCTATTGATCAGGTAGCCTCTTGTGGGTCTATATTGTCACTCCTGGGACTGCTCCAGCCTTAAACTTGGCTTGTTTGTCCTATCTGCGCGTCGAATTCGTGATG